CCATAGAAATAGTGGATTTTCCCATGAAAAATGGGTGGATTTTCCATAGCTATGTTAGTCATTACCAGAGGGTAAAAACAGTGATAGAATGGCGGGGGGTGTTTGATATTGGGATATTCTTTGGATGAAAATCAGGGGTGTCCCATTTTTTGGCTGGGGACTTTGTGTCACATCACTTGGAAAAGTATCCGTTGGAGATGATTCACCAAGCCCCGAAATAGGGACTGCATGGGACTGCACTAAGAAGAATTGAGGACTTTTGCGGTGGAACATGCGAAGAAAATAGTGACCCGGATTTAAGAAGAGGATTTAAGCTACTACCAATTGAATCAATGGGTATATAGGGGAAGTAACCATCACTGTGGGGTTAACTATGAGTTGCATTTCGAGATCATCCGTAGCCAGGAGTCTCCGAGCGTGGCCCATGTTCCAAGGTCCACTAGGTCAACAACCCCAGTCCAATGTCTGGTAGGTTGCCAGTTGTGTTGTGCTTGGCAGGAAGCTGTTTCACCACCGCACCGGGCCTCAACGGCCCTAGACCCGTGTCTTTGCGATGAGAAAAGTGAAACAAACGCGACGCGACTTTGGGCGGACGGAAGCACGAAAATGACCTCCCATCATCTCCCATCCACAGGGAGTAGCTGCAGTAGCAAATGATTTTCGATGCTACAGATCTTGGTGATCTTTCCTGCACCTAAGGCACCGCAGATGAGCTAGAGGCGAACTCGCAGGGTCTCATGTTGGGCCGCTGAGTATCCCCAGATGGTTGGAGTTGTTCGGCTGTGTTTGGCCCTCAAAAAACATTGATGAAACATATGTATACATATGTATGATTTGGTTTATGAAGCCATCCAACTCATATATATATAGAATATAATATATACATATATATATATCATATATATATACTATATTATATATTATATATTATATTTTATATTTTATATATTATATATTATATATTATATTTTATAAATTATTTTATATTTTATGTTTTGTATATTATATATTATATATTAGAAATTTATTTTATATTTTATGTTTTGTATATTATATATTATATATTAGAAATTTAATATTTTATGTTTTGTATATTATATATATTATATATTATATATTATATATTATATATTAAAAAATAATATATTATATATCATATATGATATATTATATATTATATATTATATATTATATATCATATATATTATATATATTATATATATTATATATCATATATATTATATATTATATATTATATATTATATATTATATTGTATATTATATATTATATATTTTATATTATGTATAATATATATAATATAAATATTATATATTATATATATTTTATATTATATATTATCAATTTATTTTATATTTTATGTTTTGTATATTATATATTATAATATATATTATACATTATATATCATATATTATATATTATATATTATATATTGTATATTATATATGATATACTATATATTATATATTATATATTATATATTATATATTATATTATATATTTATATTTATATATATTATATTTTATATTATGTATTTTATTATTTATTGTATATTATATTATATATTAGCTATATATATTATATTTTATATTATATATTATCTTATATATCATATATTATATATTATATATTTTTTATTATATTTTATATTTTATATATTATATATCATATATTGTATATTATATATTATATATTATATATATATTATATATATTATATATCATATATAAATAATATATATAATATAAATATTATATATTATATATATATTATATATTATATATTATATATTATATATTATATATTATATATTATATATGATATTGTATATTATATATTATATATTTTATATTATGTATAATATATATAATATAAATATTATATATTATATATTATATATTATATATATATTATATATTATATATTATATATTATATATTATATATTATATAGTATATAGTATATATATATATATATTATATATTATATATTATATATTAGATATTATATACTATATATTATATTTTATATATTATATATTATATTTTATATATTATATATTATATCATATATATAGATATATTATATTATATGATATATGATATATTATACTATATATTTATCATATATATATATAGTGTACAATATTAATATATCCAGCCCTAAATGCAACCCTTAGCCGAGTTACCGTATAAAGCAATAGCCTGTGGGGGCGCTGGTCCTCCTCGCTACGATGTGCGGATGGATCAAACCCAAACCTATTCCAACATAGGGGAGGACAGGATTACTGGGGAATTCCGACAATGGCCCCCCTCAGTTAGATGACTTTGTTTTTTAAAATACTCTATATAATCAATTCTGGCCATTTTTTAGAGAGAGAAGGGTATACAAGTTGTAAAAGGGCTGGACAAGAACACATATATAATCAATCGGACTAGTGTCCGAATGCTTCCTGGGCCATTATCTTTTGAACTTTTGAAATGGGTATGGGTCAATACCTATAGATTCTATTTTTAGTGGGATGAACATCCATTTACCAGCTATTTTGGGGTTAGTAGGTAGCAGGGTTTTGACCCATCCCCACATTTGCTAGGGACTTGTTAGCTTGTTGTCAGGAACCAAAAGGATTCTTACATGCGAATGTAGTCAGGACCAAAAATGGGGTATCCAGAAGAATCGAATACATAATTTATTATAAATTCATCTATAGATTTTGCTAAAATGTAATGAATTTATAGTATAGATAATAATAATAAATATATTTTGGAATATAGAATTTGAATTCATAATTTATTATAATGTGATCAGATGTTTTCAAATTCTATACTGTATTCCAAAATTGTGAAGACAGAACTTCAGGTTTCATTCGATCGTGCCACAATTTGAAGTGCAAATGTATAAGATATCTTTAGAGGTAATTTTTATTGTCTCTTATGATACGATCCCTGATCATTTTCTAGATTCAAAGTGGTGAGTTGCACTCCCATGTACCTATCTTTACAACAAAAATGCATGTCGAGAACAGAAATGAACCCCAGAAAATGAATAGCGGTAAGAAAAAACATGTCTTTTCTGACTTTTCTGGTCTTTTCACTCATTTTCTCGGCTGACTCCAGAGATTTTCTGGTCACTTGAGTTCCCAATGGGGATCCTTTTTACAGACCACTTGTCGTTTCTCTGTTTGGTTTGGAACCATGGAATTTTCTGACTTTCCATATATAGGGAATAGTAACCCCAAGTGATGAACTCCATCATTTCTCAGAGGGGTTGGTTGAAACCACCAAGCAGTTCTTGTCGTTGGTGATATCAGTGTTGCTTCGCTGTTTTTGTATCCAGGCTCTCCCTTTGAGTTGAAGGATCCAGCAGTGGGCGCTCGGATAGAAAGACCAAGCAGGATTGCATTGGCTAAGATTTTGGGGCAGTTACTTGTTATATCTTGTTATATAATGTTATATAGATAGATACAGAAAGACCGTTGGATTGATTTATTCTCCACCGAAATTTCAACGACGAAATTCTGAGTGACGGATAAATGGAGATGATCATGATGATCAGTACCCAATCACGCAGCAAGTCACCGGAGTTTTTTCGTTTTTAATCATAGCAAATCACGATTTCGCTCGGTAACTCACCAGCTACTGGATTCAATCAGAGTGACAATGAGAAGGGCAAAGCATCAAAGCATGTCCTTTTTGCGGTAGGAAAATCAGTTGATGTCAATGGAAATGGCTGAAAAAGAATGGCTGAATTAAAAAGTATTGGATTTATATACCCTCTGGTAATTAACATAGCCATGGGAAATTGCCCATTTATAGATGGTTTACCTATTAAAAATGGTGGTTTTCCATGGCTATGTTAAATAACCAGATGGTATATAGATTGTAAAAAAGATTCTTCACTATATAGCTTCATGTAACATTCATGTACCTAGCTAAACCATGATAAACCGTTCATTTTTCCTTCTGTGAAAGGATTGATTGTGGTGAGGACGCTTGCCATTGCTTGCCCCTGGATCTACCATCATATGTTGCGTTCCTCTTGTAGCAAGAAAGGAACGCATCAAGCATCTCCAAGCGAGGCAAAAGAGCAGAAAACTGGGATGGTGGCGAGCCGCCAGATTGGCGCAAATATATCCCCAGCCGGGCCAGCCGCGGGCAAATTATGGGACTTTAACCATTCTTGAAAAGGGGGTTACCCTCTGGTAAACTAACATAAACTAACATAACTATGGAAAATCACAATTTTTAATGGGAAAACTCACTATAAATGGCCATTTTCAATAGCTATGTTAGTCATTACCAGAGGGTACATAACGGCCAGGAGTGAGGCCAAAATTAATGATCCACACATGTCTCCGATGAGGAGATCCCACAGTTTGCTTGCATAACCGTTACCTCTTGATATGACATAATTCTCGGTGCCACAATTTGTTTAAGGTAGGCACGCTGCACATGAAAAATGATATTCAATGGTTATTTTTTTAAAGAATCAATTCTTGTCCATTCCTGGGTTGACCATGACCCGACCATGGAAACGCTACCGCCATGCCACAGCCCGGCTCTGAATAAAAGAACCACTTCTCAGCTGGACCGTTTCTGAACCGGTCGCCTACGCCAATGCCAAGAAGCTGCAAAAAAGCCGCCAGATGATCCACTCCACACGTCACAATGAGCCAACTCTTCTCCCGCATTGGACAGACAAGAACTTCGAAACCACGCATGGGAGCGGGCAATGGTTGCCACCTTTGCGACTCGTGTGGTGTGTACGGAACTGAGTTTTTTTTTGAGGTTTCAATGGGATCACCATTTGGGACTTCGTGTGGCAAAGAAACCTCCCGTAACAAAACAGGTAAATCATGGTAAATCATCATTACTAATTATGGCTAATTATGGTTAATGATGGTTTATAATGGTTTATAATTGGTAATTATCGGTGAATCATCCTGAACAGTGTGGCCGATCAGACAACCGGCCTGAGGTCATGGTAGAAGCGGAGGTGCCGGGATATGGTGCGTTTCAAGGGAGTTCCAAGGAAAACACATGGTTTACGTCAGAGCATGATCTGCAAATGGTGGGTTCCGTGAACGGATGTGCTCTCGCGGGTAACAGGAGATAACTCTGAAATTTAGGGGAAAGACATGTGGATGTGGTCTTTCATATCACAGATTGAAGACATAGACTCAAACAATTTCTTCTTTCTGGACACATCATGGAACGAAAATAGAACACGGATCCAATGGTGACATGCCAGCAATCACAATCCATCGTGAGCACCTTTTCTCCATGTCTGACCTGGGAATAAGAGACTCTTGGTGAATCAGCTGGTGCTGTTCGAGTTTTATTTTGCCCCCTGGAATTTCTTGCAGACCGCAGAAACTCAACTTGACGGCCCAGGAAGATGCACCCGTGCCAAATACAGACATTGGGAGCGAGGTGGGTACCAGGATGTGGCAGATCAGTAAAAACATATGCATTGTTGGATCAGTCGGAAATAGGATTTTGTTGGAAACAAATGCCATATTGGTTTCAAACCGCCTACCCTCTGGGCAGATGTGGTGTGTGATCGATGTCATACTCTGCCCATCTCTGCCCCAATTGGAGTGGCCAGCCTGGCTGTGGCCAGGTTTCCTCCAGCTACAGGAAGGTGGGCTTCCTGCTAGACGATGACGAGGCTACTTTGGGACTGATGATTTGAGGGTTTCAAACAACATGACTAGATCCCTGGCTCGTCTTTTCTTGGGACGCCACCGGTCTGCTAGATCTGTTTCTGGGCATATTCTAACAACCTAGCAAAGACATCATCCTAACTGGTAAGTAGGAATGGATCAAACCCCAAAATCGCTTCTTGCCGGTCGATTCATGCTCAAAAACTTTCGTCTCCCAGGATGCAGCGCTCATCGCGGATGTGCAAATCCAAGACTGTCTCATCGTCGGCGCAAGCCAAGGCCGTGCTGCCATTGGCACCATTTTTCATAGGGATGCAACGAAAAGGCCCCGAAAAACGATGGTTAAACGTCAGGTACTGTAGCATTATTTTGATCTATTTTGTAGGGACTTCATTCCTTTTCTAATTTAATTTTTCTATTTCGTTGGTGTTACTAGAACATAAATCAGTATAGAATCGGATATCAATGGGGGATCTAAATGGATGATTCACCAACAAAAAAAGATCATCAAGCATAGTAGGAGGCTACTGTAAATGATTTAGGCCTACCCAAGTTCATAAGCCACAACTTGGAGGCAGGGTGGTTTAGTAGTAACTTCAGGAATCGGTAGTCTTGTGGATCCTGGATGATCCCGGGGAACCCTGGGAAGCACCGAGAACAGCATGGCCCTACGATCATCCGCCGGCATAGCCTTGCGAAGGCTTCACAAGGCTGACGGGTTTCGCAAGAGAGGAGGCACGGTGATGGGTGGACTCCAAAAACCCGGAGCTTGGTGACCCCTGGCAGACTGACGACTGTTTATGGCCAGTAAATGATGATAAATGATGTATAAGGGGTGCCAAGTAGTAAGCTTGCTTGTATTGTGACCCCTCAATTGATTAGGGGAACTGGCGACTTGAACCGGAGCTGCCATGAAAGCTCCAAAGGCTCCAATAGTGTCGAGGTGGTTAGCTGCCAAAGTACCAAGATGAGAATTGTTTTGTCTCCCTTAAGCCTCATCGCTTTTGACCACATTTAAGTGGATCTTAGTTTCAAAAAAAAATCAATGTCCCGTAAATTTCAGAAAAAGCGGCCCAAAACAGTCGATGTTTTGCCCCCAAAACACTTATCAAAGACTCTAAAAGTGACATGTTGGTGAAGTCTCTGGGTTTGTTTGCTTCGTTCCTTCGTTCAGGTCCTTGGCCAAAACTGCCGAATGATGCTCAGCGGCGTCCCAGAGGCCTTGGAAATGGAGGAATAAACTGAATAACCACCATTTAGCAGCTCTGACTTAGGGAATTTAAAATGAAAAAAATCCGGGTACCAGGCTTTTGACCCATAAAAATTCATGTATATCGAACGAGTTATCGGAGGGGTTGCAAAATTCGAAACTACCTTGTTTTTTGTGGGACACCACCTTGTATGGATGCCTCATCTGTTCCTTTGATTTCCTTTGACTCTTCATGGAGACAACAAAAAATTGGAGGGTAGCCCCCGTCAGGATCCGCAGAAAAAAAATGTGCAAATTGGAACCCAAAACCATCCTGGGTGGCATGTCTTGGTTGCATCCTACTAGGACCTCATGATGCTAAATGCTACTGGACCTCTCAGCCGAAAAAATCACATCAGATTCTTCAGGGCTAGAACTGCCCATTTTCGTCAAATTTTTTCTATATATTCCGTAAATGTTCACTAACAATTGATTTTTGTCACCTTTTTCCCGTGGTCACCGCTTGGCCGGTTTTGACGTTTTTTGTGACTCGCCTTGGTCGCTGACTGGCCTCTTTTTTTGAGACCTCCAGGTGGCCATTTCCAAATCGGCCAGAAAGAACCTCAGAGATTTCTGCCGAATGCCTGGGATCCTGGGGAGATCGGGATCCAGTTCCGGGATGCATCGCTGATCCAGTTCTGGATGGTTAATGGATGGTTCCATGGAGACCCGGACCCGGCGTCTCGATTGTTTTTTCCCGAGGGAATCTTGGATGTGGATGATGATGATGATGATGATGATGATGATGATGATGATGATGATGATACCGTATAGGAAAATGTGACACCATATTAAATAATGTATGGCAATGTTCTAGTTATAAAATGGTATATACTATATATCTTAATGTAAACTTCGATGTAAACTTTGATGTAAAGATGTGTATGATGTATATATATATATACACTGTATATTATATGCATATGTGAATGATGATCAGACGATCACGATATACGAGGTGATGTAGATTCGCCATCTTTCAATTGATGTTTGGCGGAAGAAGGATCCACCACGTATCACCAGCATGAAGACGGCTCACATGTTTTTGGCGACCTCCCAAAAGGATAGACATCGATACCACTAATCTGGAATCTATTGCCATCATATATTCGTCCACGATTAGTATCGAGTTGTTTTATAAGTATTTTTTCCCATCCTTTTTCTAAATATTGGTTGCTATGCGTGTTGCGCCTGCCTCACACGGGGAGTGAATCGATTTCTAAGCCGATGTGGTGAGTCAACTTGGATCAACCAGCAATAGCCCAAGTTGTCTTTTCACCCTTCAGAAGCAGAAGTTCCCAACTTTTTTGGTACAGAAGTTCCCAGCATTTTGGTAAGGGGATCTTCGAGGCTTCTCCTGGGTGACTGGGTCTGGGTGATGACTTCGTTACTTCGTTCCACTTCCAAGGTGCAAAGTGAAGCGACTTGACTACATCAGCGAGGTGGGGCTCGGGCGAAGCTGGGAAGACATGGGAAAAAATCCTTGGTGATTCCTTAAAGGATGGGGAAGAGTGATGGAAAATCATGGAAAAACCAGGATTGATTTTCCGTATACCATGATATTTCCATGGGAATTGACATGCATTGAGAACTGACTGATTTGTTTTCGGGATTGAAGCCACAAGCCACGAAGCAAGCGCTGTAGTTAGATATCAGAGGAACCACCAAGAAGCATCAAATTTATATAAATGGATATATTCATGGTTTCACCAGCAGAGAAAGCTGGTTGGTGGTTTGGAACCATGGAATTTTATGACTTTCCATGAAAAGTTGGGAATTTCATCATCCCAACTGACGAACTCCATCATTTTTCAGAGGGGTTGGTTGAAACCACCAACCAGCAATGGTTAAAATTCCAATAATGGTTAACCATAACCACCATTATTAACCATTATTAACCATTATATTAACCATTATTAACTGCGATTCTTGTGCTGATGGGCTTCGCCTATCGACACAATATTTTTGCACAAGGGATGACCCCAATCTCCAGAACTTCCCCGCTGTGACCATCGGTGCTTTCTCAGCAGCGATATACGCTACCAGCGAAATATGCTACATGGCGAAAACAGGGCGGCTCCTCTTTTTCTTACTGGTGCGTTTTATTGCGTTTTACGTAGGGAATGGATGGGAATAGGGGTTGCTGGGATGATGATTGATAGTTAGCCAGTGGATCATTCCCGAAAATGCCCTGCGTTTAGCACCAGTTTTGTTCCTTTCAACTTTAACCCATCATAGACTCCAATTGGGGCTGATTCTTCTCCACCATCTAAGTTACCGACAATAGGCTCATGATTCTCCTGAGATGAGCGTTGAATCTTAGTTAACCATAGTTAACCCATGTAACAACCCCCATGATTATAGTTCTTATATTAGCTATTAAACATATCCCATAGGATCCATGTATGGTATATATATATATATGCTAACATAAAGGGGGTATATTGATGGTAAATGTTACCATATATGGCATACATGGATCCTATGGGTATCAAAAGCGGTGATTTGTTGTCCAACTGCCTGGGCCAACTGCCATGCTGCAGGTGGCATCTGTGCAACCCAACAGTCGGCGTGATGGGTGATGACCTTGGGCGTTTTGAATGATACGGTGGATGGGCCAGCGAAATCCGAATCACCAACTAATAGGTGGTACCCTCTGGTAAACTAACATAACTATGGAGAATCACCATGTTTAATGGGAAAATCCACTATTATTGGTCATTTTCAATAGCTATGTTAAATTACCAGAGGGTAAACATCCCATGATTTCGAGGCTTTCTACCATCCCAGGCTCCCAGGTGGTGCAGGATTTCTTCTTCCATGCACGGTATATGGAATGGCTAACTATCCCAAAACGGTCAAACTTTTCCGATTGGAGTGACATATTTTGATTTACCCAGATGTATAGCCATACTAAAAGAGGGAGATCTAACGTGATGTTTTCATGGGAATGTGTATTGAACATATGAAGATATAGTGGGATATCTAACCAGCTATAACTAAAGACTTGGATTATATACTGTTCCAAAATTGAGGGATGGTCACCAATCCCATTTTCATACGGATTTGAGATAACAATGCGAATTATGTTACACATGCTTGGCTCTTGGCTCTCAAGAGTTCACATGTTGCGATATGTTTATATCGAGACCTTACCCAATGTTTCAGATTGGTGAAACCATCAATCAGTAGATGGCCTTACTTATCTGAATCGAATTCTCTTCAAAACAACTATCCAGATTTTAGAAGGCACTTGTGGATGCTCTGTCTCATGCATGAATGATGCCCCGTTGGATCAGGGACTGGTTTATCCCGTTGGATCAGCCGTGTAGGTCACAATTCGTGAACTTCTTCTTGGTTGGCCTGGTTCAGGTGGGTGCCAGCTTGACATTAGCAGTAAAACCAGGTAGAATCCCTGGTTTCCTCTAGATTTAAACCGCAACGAACCAAGCCAGTTTTGGACATTTTGATTGTCAAGATCATTAGCATCCACATCCAAGGGGCCAACTTCCCACAGATGCTGCTCCGATTCGGGGGAAGTCCCTTCAGCCAGAAATCGCCAGAAATCCACCTCCACGCAGGTCTTCAACGGGAAGTACCTCTTAGGTGTACAAAAGCCACTGGTCTTCGAAAAACAGTCGTGCCGTCCACCTAGCCGATCACCTCCTGAAACGATTGCCGTCAATAAATTTTGCGAATGAGCACAACTTATGGTAGATATGCGGCGCCAAAAAGATGGATGGTATATCCACACGGCATGGGATAGATGACCATAATGGCACATATGCCCGGGTTGTCAACCATTGACAGTTAGCAGTAGCAGTTTGTAAATAAGTTCCTAGCCCATCTGGGATCTCCATAGTGGACGCCAGGATGGACCTTAGGTCAAGCCTGATCAAGTGGGACTGCCCTGTATGCACATATGAATTTTATGAACAATACATTACATTATTTTTTACATGGTAGTTGATTGTAGTTTTGTTTGTGTATATAGCATGTTTTGTTCTTCCAGTTCTTTGGTTGCTTTGTGTATTTTAATGAACAGTCGAGTTGAGTAGAACTATGGGGCTTAAAACATATAGAAAAGAATATGCTAAGTGTTAAAGCCGCACTTTTTATCGCCGAATCACCATGTTGTATTTGAGCCAGTGTTTTCGATGGCAAGTACTACAGGATGGTGCCCCCGAATTACAAGTTGGTTTATAAGCCCCAGTAACTATAGTTATAAGTACCATAAACCATAGTTATGGGAGTTTTTTGAACCAACTTAGCTAACGAACTGGGGCACCTACCATTTTTGGACGTTGACATTTCCCGATGATTTTGAATCTCCACGCTATAGCAGCTCCGCATTCCTAGGCCGGTGGGCGAAGGCCTTTTTGCTTCGCTGAATGGCAAAAAAAAGGAAGAGGTTCCCTTGGCCCAAAAATGCTGGGGTTGTCCGACTGGGGATTTATATGGATTTATCTTGTTTTATCCAGAAAATTACAATCTTTAGCGGAAGCTTATTGATACAACTTATTGAATTTTCGGGGTACCCGATTCTCAGAGAAAATTCATGTTGGGATTTTTTTTTGCGCAACAAAAGACGATGTAACATACACCCCCCCAATTGAAGATGGACTCTGAAAAAATGAATGCACTACCGGATGTGGCCGTTGTTGGGTTCCATGTAAGAATTTTGAAGATACCCTCTGGTAAACTAACATAACTATGGAACATCACCATTTTTAATGGGTAAATCAACTATAAATGGGCAATTTTCAATAGCTATGTTAAATTACCAGGGAGTCTACCACCAAAAGATGCCGAAATGTGTCTGACAAACAAACCATGCGATACGACTTTTTTTGCACATGGGTGGAGATAGGAGACCCAGAGAACCACCATTCTTGTGGTACCCAGCTGCTGGACCCATCCGGAGTTTTGTGGCTCTGGGAATTGTAGAATAGTCATGAATCATCTTGTTCGATATTGTGTGATTCTTTAGATTCTTTTCTTAGATGTTATAATATATATTATATATATATAAATATTATATATTATAATCTTTATTTATATCATAAATACTTATATAATATTATATAGATATTATTCTATAATCTATTCTTTGATTCTTTGCTTGGGATTCCCCCTGAAAAACAGTCGACTCATGTTCGAACCTTTGGGCGATTCATCGATTCATCGCCAGGTCTCCGAAGATGCGCGGACGATTTTTAAGCGGATCCGCGGAAAGTTGATGGATCTTCAACGAGATCCAGGTCTGCTACGGGAATCTCTGGGAATCTGGGTGTGAGTTTATGGATGTTTATGGATGTTTATGGATGTTTATGGATGTTTATGGATGTTTATGGATGTTTATAAAGCTCAAAAACACTAGAAAACACTATACTGATGTAACTCATGATACTTACGTTCATTGGGAAAATGATGATAAACCGCATTTGGGGTCCCGAATGTCAGACGAACTCATCTTACGAAATTCGGGGATGATGGCTGTGGTTGAAGAAGCTGGGACAGGGTGAAACATATTCCCCAGCAGTTTCCTGATTGTCGTGGTGACAACTTTAGTTGGTCATGACTGTACTGTACCATACTGTACCAATGTTCCTGGGTGTCGCAACGATTCAATGTTGTTTCATTCCCCTTTGTTGCTGAAGCTCATTTTTTTTGCTATATCCGCGAAATCATGTGAAATCCAACATTTGATGCAAGAAAATCCTTGACCTTCTGTTAAATCCCTCATATTTTTTGTTGCAGAAAGCGGCCTTACGTCCCCATACCTTGTGTATGTGAACGCCAGGTCGAGATTCCTTATCTTTGCAGCCGGGTTTCACCTTCTTTTCTGAGCGATTGCAGGCTCGAGAGAAGCGAGAGACGGGTTGGGGGGTTCAAATTCTACCTGAGAGAAGCTCACTTCTACCCTCTGGTAAACTAACAGTTCACTATGGAAAATCACCATTTTTAATGGGTAAATCCACTATAAATGGCCATTTTCAATAGCTATGTTAAATTACCAGAGGGTAAGGGATTTTTCATGATTCTTCCTCCCCACTTTGCTCTCCATCTGGATCTGGGTCAAAATTGGGCTGCACGCCAGGTGTGACATCCATAATATATCATAATATGGACATATCTGGAACGTGGCAGGACCATTGCTTGCTCCTGAACAACCAACGGACCGCCATGCGCAGAGAACCACAGGTGCTGCCCTGCTACGATTCGTCATGATGTCATGATAGGGCATCACCATCAAGTCATATCTCAAGTCACTGAAGGTATGGATTGTAGCCAGTTGAAAACGACCATGGAACCGTTCCTGACACATCGTGCTGGAATCTGCTTTGGAAACTGATCTGATTGGTGGTTTCAGTTATAGTCATGTTCCATCCCAGTCCATGATTCCCAATTGTCTCGACTATTCTCATCTATTCTCCACAAACATATTTGGGGCTGAATTTCTTTTTACCACCAAAATCTGAAGGTAACCAAAGAAGACCAATTTTCTGGCTCCAGTCCTCAAATTTTCAGCCTCTGCCGAAAAAACGTGACAGGAATTGGCCACCAATTGAAGCTTGGTGATCAAAGGAGTGGGAGAGGTGGGTAAAGTCGTAAAGTTTGGTTTTCATTTGGGAACCAAAATTTAAAACATATACATATTGTATAATATTATATATATTGTGTACTGCAGTATATATTAATATATATATATATAATTAATATATTATATATGTACACCAATACGGACGTTGCCTATAGATCGTTCGAATGTGTATGGAGTCATGGAGGTTTCCGAAGTCATAGGGGTACCCCCAAATCATCATCCATTTGAAAAAGTAGGCTTTTCCATGGGATTTTCCATGAAAAAGTCACCATCCAGCGAGCTCGCTTGGGGTATCTGGATCCTACCAGGGGAGCCTAGTGACCTTACATCCGTCGTGACCTCACAAACCAAAGACATCATGGGATTCGGATTCGAGCGAGGAATCATCCCCTTTTATGAAAAAAAACTTGGTGAGTGAATTAATATGAATTACTCTAATTTGGGGATGGCTCATTTTAATTCATTTTATTTTTTTCCATTCAAAAGCTATGAAATTACCATAATTAGCCTAGTATTTGGGGAATGAATACAGTAAGCCTCTAGCATCCTCCAGCTATCTCCGAACAAATTCCAAGGCCTAGTCTTCGGAGATGCACCTTGCAGGTGCTGTGGCTTTTCCAGCGGAAAATCAGCAGGAAATCTATGCAACTTATGGCTGTTTTATGGAGCTCATATGGGTTAAACCATGTCAAAACCCTGGATTCATAAAGCCCTACTGTAGGTTGTTTCATTGGGTTGTTATAGCATTTAAGTATCAGATGAAATGACTATTAGGGGAGTACCCACCTAATTAATAAATCATGGTTTATGAAAAAACGGGGTTGACATGATATTAAATGTTATATAGCTGAGTTGGCAAATTCCTTTGGGTTGAGGGGACGGGATATACCCTCTGGTTTTCACAGCTCGACCCTGAAGATCACTCATTGTGGTTTCACTCATCTTCCAAGCCCGATGAATGCCAGGTCTATTTTCATTTACTGGAGGGCGGGTATATATATATATATATCATACTTATGGCTGTTTAATAAGATTCCTTGGAAAAAACAATGGGAAGACTTGGAATGATTCTCAGCAATAGGCAGATATTCCAATATTTTATCTGACACATATTCGGATGATCTATCTGAAGAATGTTCTGACAGGTGGGGAAAAAGAAGGGGTGTTTTCTACGTAGTATACATAGGGATTTGGACTCAATCAAGGTTGTCGTGTGCACATCCTATGGGAATCAACAAAAAGCGCCATTCGCGGCGGACAAATCCCTATTCTTCATCGTTGATTTCCAATCATAGTGGTGAATGTCCATGCCTGCTGGTCCCTATCATCATTATCATCATAATATAAGAATAGTAATAAGAACAGCGATGATGATGATGATGATGATGATGATGATGATGATGATAGTAATACTAATAGTGATAGCATAAAAGCAATGCACCGTCATCGTAGGTTGTGTTGCTTCGACTTTTCAGAATTTCCTGCTTGCTCATGTAGGATCAATGGGAATTTCAGGATCCTAAAATGGAGGTACTGTACCATATGTTTGGCCATATTTTATGGGGATGTTCCCTTACATAGGCCTGAAAAATAGGCCTTATATATGGTAGGTACCTCCAATAAATCGGATCCTGAAAATCCCATTGGAGGCAAGGTACCTGTTTATTGAAAGGAATTTGGTTTCTCCCAACCTGGCCTCATCGAATTGGCACAGTACCTGCCTGTGGGGCACCAGAATGGACAACTGGAGTGGCATTGTCTTTTGACAAACACCACCTTTTGTGGTAAAAAAAAAACGGTGCTGCAAAGTCCACTATTTGACAGGGCCACGGAAAACCTTCCCGGAGGTAGTCTAAAATACCAGTTCGTATATTTAAAAATCCGTAGATTTAAATGTAGTCACCGTATATACATATTAATATATATATATACATACACCATATTTTCTGGGAAAAAAACACATATTTTTGGGAATTTTTTCATCACTGTTTTTTACATGAACATCCCAATGTTTTCTGGTGAGCTCCCCAAATTTAAGGGAAACTGTCCATGTCGTATCGAATGAATCGGAAAATGCCCATGGTTTCCAGTGATGAAACCAATCCATGAAACTCGTTTTTCTATGTTTAGATATGGTTAGAGATGAAATTTTTGGATATGTTTAGATATGAATTTTTAGATATGGTTAGATATATATTTTTTTGATATGTTTTTATATGTTTAGATATGTTTTTTTTTTTTCAGGGTTGGTTTATATCAGCATGACATATCCCCTACGGAGATATTTGGACGCATCGTCTCCTTGTTCTATTGATATATCCCCCATACACTGGGAATTTCAATCCCATGAATCATTATGAGGTATCTCCAATATATCCCTTTGATATATTACCATCAAACATCTCAAACATCCCATATTTTCCATGGGTTCCCTATACCTGCTGGTAAATTAACGTTCGCGAAAAAGAAAATCACCTTTTTTTAGAACGTTCAATCAACGCAATCAATGGCCATTTCCAATTTCGCAAACTGTTAACTTACCAGGGGCCAAAATGTCATTTCACCATCAATTTCACTATATTAACCATACATTAGCTATTTTCCAATGGTTCAATGGCCATTCCAGGATCCTAGATTGGAGGTACCTACCATATATATCCATATATAAGGCCTATTTTTCAGGCCTATGTAAGGGAATATCCCCACAAAATATGGCCAAAAATATGGTACTAACGTACCTCCATTTTAGGATCCAGTTTAATTCCCATTGAAATGGTTCCCTGTAGATTTTCCAAGGATTTCCTCAACTTCCGGAATTCGATAAAGGCGGACGGAAAACCGCGGCTTGTTCTTCGCCGTTCGCATTGATGATGCGGTGACGACCTTCGAAGGGTTGCCCATCGTGGCTCGGATGGTTTCATGGAAAATCCGCACATAAAATGGATCTGATAACAAGGGGTACCCCCATGACTTAGGAAACCTTCAACTATTTATGGTTAACATTTAACTGACATCAATAAATGGTTCGTTAACATATTTATAAATGGTTCATTAACATCAATTGGTTAGTGTATGAATTGTGCTTGACAACTGGTTGATAAAACTATATAGTGAAATTGCTGGTGAAATGCCCTTCGTGGAGCCAAATTTCAGGTTAGTGAAGTATGTTGATTTTCCCAGATGAATCAGATATCATTGACATTGAATGGGATATCATTGACATTGGGAATCATTCAAACTTTAAATCCGGGGAAACAATCTGACTATCAGGAGCATTGTGAAAAAAAAAGTGTGTGTGTTTTCTTAAACGCACAATCAACGGGATGTAGGTGGGATATGTCTCTCTCTTTTTCTCTCTCTCTCTATATATATACACGTATATATATATATATATATGGGATATTTAATTTGTGAAACAACAACAGTATGGTATTGGATTGAATGGAACCATTCGATTGAAGAGATATTCTGGTTGAGGGCTTTAAATACCCTCTGGCAATTAAACATAGCTATTGAACATGGTGATTTATAGTGGATTTTCCCATTAAAAATGGGCGGATTTTCCATAGTTTTTTTGTACGTTTACCAGAGGGTATCTATATATCTGTTGTTTTTCAACCGTACCAACAAGACGATTTGGTTGAGATGACGAGCAGCGTTTTGGGATGGGTAGGATCCCTTTCTACATTACCAGTCTTTTTCATGACAGCGACAAATGGGTAATTCTTCGGGAAACCGATCATTGGGAATTACAATCTTTACCATCTGGTTATGACTAACATTGCCATGGAAAATCCCTGAAATAAATGAGGGCTTATAGCTGGGAAAATCATCTATTTCTATGGGCCATCTATACCATGCTATGTTAAATAACCAGAGGGTAAGTAATTGCTAAATGGAAAGCCAATCATAGGGAAGTCCTTGCAGTTATCTGATACTAATTGGTAATCAATCTATTCACTCATAATCTAATACTCAGATTATTACCATTGAGATTGGGAATCATCATTAGCAATCAAGCAAACCAGTTCCCCTCTGGTAGCTCCATGACTTGCTGGAAATTCCCCCATGAAAACTTTGATGCTTTCCCTATTAAAAGATCATGAATACATAGGACTTTCAATTGCTATGTTTGATTACCACAGGGTATCTTTATCAGTTCATGATAAATTAGTGGTAACTCCAACGATCGAGTTTCCATTTAAGTATCATGGGACATGATTGGGAAATGGTCGTGAAATTGAAATGGTATGATGATCATGATGGTACTATGACAGTTAATGAATGGTATTTATGGTATTTGGTAGTCAGTAATGATTGGAACATTACTGGCACATAAGAACTCAGTCCATGGCATTTGATATTTTTTCTTCGATGGCAATGATACCATGTATATCCCCATCTTTTTTTTCTTGGTTTACAACATTCCGTAGTATAAAACCTCATCTAACTCCAACATTCATTTTGTTCGACATTGCCACCAGGTGAAATAATCAACGGGCACCTATCATGGGCACCATCTGGGCTGTCAAGTGCCACATAAATTGATGGTAAAAAGACCCTAGGGATCTAGGGATGATTTGGGAGATAAATTGCAACTGGTCATGGGGATGTAAATGGGATCGGGGATGTTTTAATGTCATAATAGTGGGATACACGCGACATGATACGACAATTTGACCTTGGGTTGGTCTGAAAATATCAACCAACATGTTCTTTTCCATGGCGACACTTATTTTCTGAACATTCTAGACCAGTCTAAACCATCAAAATTTGAGGTGCTCCATTTGCAGACAATCTCTTGTGGGGTACCCATTGACTGACAACATGTTGGATTTCTTGCTATAGCATCCAGTTTTGTAGATCATTTTCAAGGTAGGTTTTATCTTCAGGTGTTGGTTCACCATGAGACAGTCCAAAATACCACGAGACCAATTTTTTTATATGACAAAGTCAAAAATTCCCCGTACCTGAATTCTTCACCCATTTTTGCCGTGTGCTTTGGCTGTACTTTTCGAAATGGGCTCTATAGGCAATTGGGTTTCATGAACCTGGGTAAATTATAATGACCTCATTTCGACCTCACTGGAATCATGGTTACTAAGGGAAATCATCCCCAAATGGCCTTAATTCAGGTTAGTGAAATATTATAATTTACCCAGATGAACGGCTTTGCCAGCATATCACGCCCGGCTTTCCCTGCGATCCTGCGATCCGGCCTCCCAGATGGGCTTCACTCGTCGAAAACCCATGGACAAACCCGATTTGTATCCTACGGTCTGTAGGCGGAAACTGGGATGATATGGTGATGTGAATTTCCGTAGATATGGGATGATATGGTCTTGTCATGGTTTACCCTCTGGTAATTTAACATAACTGTGGAAAATCATCATTTTCAATGGGTAAATCCACTATAAATGGCCATTTTCAATAGCTATGTTAAATTACCAGAGGGTATCTGAAGATAGGATAGCCCCAATCCTATATCAATTATATTTATATGCGTTTATCATGATTTTCCAGACTCAATGGCCAGAAGTTTGCGGTAAATCTACCAATTTCAGACACAGACAAGGCCCCAAAAAATGTGAGACCCTCTGGTTATTTCAAGTCGCAAACTGGAAATTCACCATGGAAATCATAGGTAAATCGAATCATTCATGGAACTCAATGGTTTATAGCTGCCATAGCTATGTTAGATAACCAAGGGTACAGGATGGGGCCCCAGTTCGTTAGCTAAGTTGGTGAACATAACTATAATAACAATAGTGTATGATACTTATAACTTATAACTATATTTAGATGGGGTTGTAAACTTGTAACTCTGTAAATGATAAACAATATCTATCTAGACCCGTATGGTGGACTCATGCTGTCAGTGTTAGCTGGGGGCTTACGTGACATCTTTGTTTCTTTGTTTCTTTGAAAGAAGCCAGGGCTATGATTTTTCAACTTTACGAAGATCATGTATATATAAGCATAACAATATAGGCAGGATATATATATATATATAGATACATATGTATATGTATAGTATAAATATTTTGCCTGTAGTATATATATATATGTATGGTCATATAAAATCATAATTAATGATTTGTACATGATATTTGGTGAATCCAGAAGAGCAGTGCTCTTCCTTTGGGCCATGAACGGGCCCTGGTGGATTTGGTTGGCAGGGAGAGCGCTGAACCTTGATTAGTGAAATGGCTTGAAATGGGGATGGGTCAAAACCTATTATTACCATATTGGGGGAATAAACATTCATTAACCAGCTATTTTAGGGTACCTATGATACCAGGGTTTTGAGGCATAGCCAAATTCGAAAAACACATGTTCTTTTGCTGAATGATTTCCGTTCAGATCATTGCTTCCGTAAGGGTCTGAATGATGGATCTGATAGATGTGGGACGTACCAAAGACTGCCGCGCATCTTGCGCAGGTGTTTGGGTGCGAGCGTCTTAGTAGGTGCCTGTGGCGAGGCTGGGAAGATCTAAAACATGTGGTTCTTATTATGGTTCCTAAGTGGGTTCTTATTCTGCTTCTTGAACATGTAGTGATTCATGAGCAATTATAGTTCTTGATATACATTGCTTAGGTCAGCACCAGAGGTATGTAACTAAGATGAATTATCGAGTTGGCGTTAGCATTGATCCGGCATCGAAATTTCACCAGGAAATCATTTTTGGTGGCCTCGCCCACACAGCCGACACTTGTATGTTATTTTTTTAGCATTAGCCGTAGCTGATGCAAAAAAAGCACATCGTGGATTTAGCATAGCCAGTTTCGCTACTCAGTTGGGAACTACCTGGCTGGGTTCCCTTGGATGATCCACATCTTGTTAGCTTAGAGGATGGTACTCAGGGGCCCCATATTCCAACATGGGTTAAACTCCCATTGTTGTAGCAATGTTTTTCATCCCAGCTGCCTCCCCCAAGAGTTCTACTTGACCAGTCAGTGCAAATGGAAATTGGAAGAGCCATGCTGAGAAGCATCATATCTCGAGCCATACTCAGTGATTATGCTACAAGCAACATGGGTTCTGGAAGACCCGAAAGCCATTTTTTTCATGAATGCGGAATTCATGAGCCAATGATCAGAACAGCACGCTTTTGTCTGAAGGCTTAAAGATGTTTGAATGACTCTTGGGCCAATACTGATCAAGATTTTGCTGTCTTGGCACAGAGTCAAATGCAGCAAATGAATTAATTGAAGTGTGATATGTGTCTTTTCTGTTTTTTGAAGGTAGCCATAGGAAGGGTTGGTTTGCGATCATTTGTTTGGGCCAAAATTGTGCAGAAACCAGCACTGGCACGCTGGCACGCGAGGGTAGAGCACTGTTCTTCTGCTTTGCTTGTTATTTCGAGTCTCTGAACATTCCGGAAATATCACAGATATTATACCCTTTGGTTATGAATAACAGTTCGCCATGGAAGCCATCACCATGCTATTAATAGGTAAACCCAGGTAAACCATCTATAGATGGGCCATCTATAGATGGGCCATCTATACCATGGCTATGTTAAATAACCAGATGGTAGATCCCAATATCCCAATCCCGTAGGTGTTTTCCGAAGTTATCTCAAGCACATGTTGGCAATTCCATTTTGAAGCCACAGGCAAGTTCACAGGGTTTATGACAGGCTCAACTCTCGACTCACCAGTTCCTAAGCGTGTCAGAGCTCAACAAATACCCTACTTCTTTAGATCACCCTACACAACCACGGCCCTTTCTGATCTTCATTATCCATTCAATAACCAAAATGCTGGGTATCCCAAACTTTATCAAAACTCCAAAAACTCACATGAGTTGAGCAGCTCAATTTTTCTTCAAATGCATACCTATCACATTAGTTTAACACATCCTCTCCATCTCATCCTCTCCAGGCTTTTGCAAGAGATCAGACGGAGCATTTCCGAATCGGCTTCAAACAGCCGCCTCAAACCGAGGCACGGGGAGCTGACTGATTCAAATTGCGACGTTATGAAAAACTGCCACACACACACACTCACACACTTATAATCACTATGTGTGTATATATATACATACATTAATATATCATCATCATCATCATCATCATCGTACAGTATTCCCTACATGATACTATGTAATCATAAGTTTATATATACAGTTTATAACATGATTCCCTACATTATATAGCTGTTATATAATGGATCTGGATCGCCAGGTGGCCTCTTGGTCGATGCAGCCGGACGTGCCGCCGCACAAGCGAAGGCACGCAGTCGCAGTGACGATGGACAACGGCAAAGACTAGGGAAATTCCTGACAAAAAACGGGGAAATCATTGATTTAACATGATTTAAATCATATAAAAAAGCCTTGAACATGTGGGATGAATGGAGATCCAACCATGAAAACTCTAATCTGACCATCAAAATTCTGATGAGGATCCAAAACAACAAAACATTGGGGATGTGACGATGCCACAAAGAATAGAGCTTTGACATGGTTGAACCATGAATACTGCGATAGATTTTTCAAGGGGCGATATATGATATTGGGTTTCTTCGTAAAACGGGGAAGACGCAAAAACAAATCAGGAGGCCTTATGAGTCCAGAGGCATCCGAAGTGAAGTAATGCTACATCGGATGGTATTTTCTGGTGGTCGCGTAGAAATGGGAGGAGGATCATAGACTAGAAATTCGGGTGCACTGATATGGTGACCTACAAGATATGTTCTGATGCTACACATATTTTATTTTGGAACCTAGAAATCGGATGATCCCAAACCTAGAAGGGACCAGGAAGAATCTGGCGGGGGACCTTCATCGAACCGAAAAACTGTTCCCAAATGGCAACCAGAAATGTGTAGCCTCAAACGCAATGGAAGATCCCCAAAAATTATAGAATTCTATCGATGATTTTTCCCGATTCAAATCATACTGGTTGGTGTTTTGGAACATGCATTTTATGACTTTGCATTCAGTTGGGAATCATCATCCCAACTGACGAACTCATATTTTTCAGAGGGGTAGGCTCAACCACAAACCAGTTAATCATTCCGAGTTGAATATAGACTAGAAAACTAGAACATACTAGAATTATTGTGACTTATAAAGGATCCAAATCAGAAAATGAGAGTTTTTTCACTACGACTACGAGGTTGATATGGAATGCTATGGATTCACTTGGTTAGGCTCCACGAAAAATCGTGAACTTTACCCCGAAAATCGATGATTTTTTCAAATCTATAGAGATTTTCCCCATATTTTCCGATGATTTTCCCAGCCCTCCATGAAGATCCGCCGTATTCGCGGCAGGGCTCCAGTGGCAGTTCTACCTGGGGATGTCTTTGGGTGAGCCCGGCGTCGTTTATAAATCACCGGAAGGGACATGAATTTATGGTTCACCTAATGGTAATGGCCATAGAAATAGTGGATTTACCCATTGATAGCATGGTGATTTTCCATAGTGAACTGTTAGTTTACCAGAGGGTAATGGTTTATCATGGTGAATATGGAAACCATTGGAAAATGGTTCATGTATGGTTAATATAGTGAAATTCGTGGTGAAATGATATTCTACCCTGTGCTAATTTAACAGTTTGCTATGGAACATGGCCCATAGAAATAGTTGATTTACTGTTCTTAAAAATGGTGATTTTCCAGTTGGCAAACTGTTAGTTTACCAGAGGGTAATGTGGTAAACCCAATGGTTTTATGGTGATTTTCGGTTGTTTCTTGTGGTAAAGCTAACCCCATGATGTGGTAAACGCAATGCCATAGACCTCCCATTTATGGTGATTTCTGTGGATGGTTTATGGCATTGGGTTTAGCACATTATAAAGGAAGTCAAGGGCTGATGTAAATCGTGTTGTCAGCCATCAGAACATGAATTCTCTGAAGGTTCCATTGAAACCCATGTTTTTTTTGACATGTAGGGGGGTTCTTCTACATATCCCGTTCTGGCTGAGTGTTTTTTTTTTTGAATGGTGATAACTAGGTCAATCTTACATGGATACTTTAATCCTTTAGTCTTTTGGTATCAATGGGAATATCTACTAACCAGCAAAGAATTTGTCATTTTTTGCAGGGTATCTAAGATTGGCAATGATATTTTTTTGACATTTACAGTTGCAACATGTTGCAAACATGACCTGATGAAGGATCTTTTCTGGATGGTCCTCTACCGCGATCGTTGGATCTTGTGTGGATTTTTCAGGAGTTATAGGACTAGCCAGTGGGAATATCAGCAGCTAGAAATATGTAGATATCATGGGATATTATATGTATATGTATATATATATATACATATACATATAATATATACATATCTATATGCATATACATACATTTCAAGCAGCTTCCATGTGGAATTCCACGTTTTTTTTTTTTAATCAGCCTTCTTGGCCTCGCCAGGTGCCTGTATAGCAACGAGGGTCACATCCAGCTTTGGAGGCGATCCTCGAAATCTCGATGCAACTGGGGGATTTCGATCCATTTTTGGTACCCGGCCTGGTAAACTAACAGTTCACTATGGAAAATCACCATTTTTAATGGGAAAATCCACTATAAATGGCCATTTATAGTGAATTTTCCCATTTAAACATGGTGATTTTCAATAGCGAACTGTTAAATTACCAGAGTATACCCGGCCTGGTCAACTGTTACCGTTCGCGAACTTGAAGCCATGGCCATAGAAATAGTGGATTTACTGATTTACCCATTGATAGCATGGTGATTTTCCATATGTTAAATTACCAGAGGGTATATTTTTTGTATGATTCAAACATGGATCGAAATCCCCAACTTAAGCGTTTTGATCCATTTTGGTTGAATCGGAAGTTCATCATCAAAGTCACCTGACAGGAATGGAAAACTGGCTATGGACTTTGATCTTCAGCGACCGATACAGGAGGAGGGACATGGTGGACATGGTGGACATGGGGATGGATGCCAGAAATTGGTTGCAAAAAAGCTGTTGACCCGGCCTGGTTTTCTGTTACATAACTAGTAACGAACTGGAAAGATCCACCAGGTCACCATGCTATCAATATGGGGATTCATCCACGAACTTTCAATGGCCATGGCTTCAATAATTAGCGAAGTGTTAGTCATTACCAGAGGCTATCTATATTACCATATTGCGGAAGTTGGCTGACCGTGAAAAACATTCCCATCATTGACGCCATCCATTGTTTTCGCTGAAATCATCCACCTTTTAGTTGTTTTGATGGTCATCCGTAGTGGCCTCAAAACTTTGGATAACTTGGATGATTTTTGCACCTCACCTTTTGGAAAACTCATGACGACTGTTGGAAAATGGACATAAATCCACTAGAAAAGTATTTGATGATGTCCTATTCAAAGCTGCATTTATAGTGGATGATCCAGCTGGCCATGTTTGATTTTCTGTGTGGAATGCATCCGACGGTTGAAGGCGACCAGAAATCCAGAAATTGCGACCAGAAATCTCTGGTTCTTCTTGGTATCCATGTGGTGCAGTGTAGAGCTGTAACACAGAAATTTGAAGAAACAAAAAGTGCTTTAGCATATGATGTTGTATCATGTTGTATATTCCTTTTTCATTAAAGAAAAACATACATTCTCTCAGACTCACAGATGTATTTCACTTGGCCAACAGCCAGCAATCCACTCCCTGCAGGATGTTGACTACTACGCGGTGGTAGATGTGTGCCTAGCAGCGTGAGCCGGGCTGGGCGGCTGGGCCCCGCCATCGATGAGGATCTAACCCCCTACCGCCATCTGATTGGTGGTTTAAGGAACCATGGAATTTTATGACTTTCCATACCATACATATTGGGAATTTATTTTCTAACTGACTATTTTAATATTAGGATGTTTTATTATTATTATTTTTTTTTCCATATTTTTTATAGTTCAACATCCTAAGTGACGAGTTGTCATATTTTTCAGAGGGGTAGGTATACCACCCAGGTAAGATGGTTGGTTGATGGTTTCTCATGGGATTTCCTGGGTCCAAGCTGTGCCCCCATCACTGGTATCTTGATGAACTCGGCCACTGTGATGAACCTCACATTTGTCGGATCTCAATCCCAGCATGATGAGATTTGTCGGATTTGCAGACCATAGAAAGACCAAATACTCATCAAATATCACAAGTGTCCGGATTTTGGCATCTTGGCTGCTTGGATCCTGAGCTGTTCTGCTTGAATTCTCCGTTTTTTTGGTTTCGTGAAGCCCAATGTTGTTGATTCAGCTCCTACTTGTATATTGTTGCTCAAGTATTCGCAAATTTTTCTGCAGCATACTTTTGAATTGAGGGAGTTTTTTCGTCGCCCAGTCGATTTATGGGGATTGATCAGGCTTGACAGAACAGGATTGCTTGGTAGATCTTGTCTGGTTGGTGGTTGGTACTATGAACTTACCATATGACTGGAGGAAATTCTAGGCTATTATCATTAGGATGGTGAAGGAATACTATTAGGAAGTACTATATTACTGGTTGGTGGTTAAAAAACCATCTTGAAAAATGACGGAGTTCGTCAATGGGGTTGGGATGACATCCCATATATGAAATGGAACATAAAATTCAGGTTCCAAACCACCAACCAGATGATTAATTATATGGCTAATATTAGTCAGTTGGTGTTGCTATTCCCAATATATGGAAAGTCATAAAATTCCATGGTTCCTTAAACCACCAAGCAGTTTTTTGCTTCGTGACTTCAAGTGACTTCAAGTGGCGACAAGCTGCGCAAGCTGTAGATGGAATGAGGATCTTCAGGGTAAAGGTTGGGGGATACTGGACTGACGAACATTGGCTGGAACAGCGTGCAGATTCCGTGCAGGATCTTTCTTCTATGGCTGGGACGGATCTTGGTGTCCTGGATACGGTCCAGGAGTCCAGCCATAGAAATGACTCATTCCACCCAACTTTGATTGTCATAGAATTGGATTATGGGAAAATTTACAGGAAAGTCCCATATTTCATGGTAAAACCCATGGGTTTCCGGTTCAGATTTTCCCCAACAAACCAATCCAGTGAGATTGGGAATCATTGTGGACTGCGGACCTTTTGGAACTCCCCAAGTTCGGAAATCCCCCAAATCAATCCCAACTATCGCCAGGCAGGTACCTCTTGCTTAGGCCGTTGCAGGTACATCAAGCCAGCCCTTCCCCCTATGAAAAATAGTCTCTTTATTAAACCATGGTTTAATAAAGGGATTTACAAATATTTGGGAACATAGAATGCAGCGGCGTTTAATATGAGGTTAGGAGGGATGGGATTATTGTAGTTGTAGATGCCACAATTCATCCACATTTGACATTTATCCATTACTATTCGGCAATCATTCCATTGTTGTCCCCCATGAAATTCAATGAAGCATATGATATCCCCATGAGCTATTCCCATGAACTTCCCTATCATAAAACCATAAATGGATTTGCCTGAAAATGGGGAATATCCACAATACCCCCCGTTCATGGCCGTCAAATAGTAGGGAACATGAATTTCTACACCGTCAAATTTAGAGGTTTTCCTCTAAATCTTCGGCTAAGCCATACGCAGTTGGTTAATCCCGGCTAAAACCATGGTTGTATTCCATGAAAATATCATAAAATATCCCCTACATACTTATAGTCACTTATAGTCGCTCTTTTTCCATGAACATATCACCATTTCTCACCAGCCCCGTCTCCCCATATCAGCGCAAAAAGCCCTGCCTTTGAAAAGGTACACTGTCAGCCTTCTTCCAGATTCGGATCCCAGTCAAGCTGCCTCACCGGTGCCACCTCCCTGCGCTGTGGGAATGCTGTGGGTTTTTTGGACCCGAGGATCGTCTCAAGGTGTTGATTTTAGGTGGACATGGGGTAAAATGATGTAAAATCATGGTTTACATGTGTCTACAACTGTCACAACCAGCAAATCAACAAATGACGTTTCACCAAAGGGATAGAACCAATCAGCATGGTAGTAAGTGGTACATTACCATGGCTAAATAAGATCCCATTACCATGGCTAAATAAGATCCCAAATGCGGGGTTTGCGATTGATAACACTAGCCGGGATGTGGTGCCAGATCCTGCCGTTTTGTTATTGTCAAAGCCAAATTTTGCCGCTTTAACATCTTTTAACTGGCGCCTCCGCCAGTTGTAATTTTCAGACATACACCCTATGTAATTGGATGTAATTGCTAGGTACAGTATCATCTGCGTTACGGGGTGGTTAGAACGGGATAGAAAATCCCATCTATACAGCCTTTGAAAATTTAACATGGATCATAGTAAATTTTACCTATTGAACATGGTGATTCTCCACAACTATCTTGAATCATCAGAGGGTAGTTGGGGTATTATATCCCATTATGAATTGGGGTATTATATCCCATTACCCATAGGATCCATGTATGCTATATATGGTAACATTTGCCATCAATATACCCCTTTTATGTTAGCATATATAGCATACATGGATCCTATGGGTTATGAATTTTGGCTAAAAAATCCCACTGTATTATCCCATTAAAACACCTTTTTTTCATCCCATAGGAGTTGCGAATTCCTGCGAATTCCTGGTGTCTTACGATGTTTAATCGAACTTGCTGGTTGTCCAACCGCACTGCAGCCGTGAAGTTTTTTGTGAACTCTTGGCTCCGAGTCCGGGGCGGAATCGAACAAAGAATGACAGTCAGATGAGCCAAGAGAATCCACTTTGGGATATTTCACTACCAATTAGTCACTATTAGCCACTATTAGCCACGATTAGTCACTATTAGTCACTATTAGTGATTAATAGTGACTAATAGTGACTAATAGTGGTTAATAGTGACTGATTAATATGTCAATTTTTCGCAACTTTCGCACCCCCCAAGATGCGATGCCGACCAGCTGGACACCTGGAAATATCTGGTAATCTGGCAGCCTTTAAACATGGCTTGCTGGACAATTTAATATACAGGAATTAATATGTATATAGATTATATGTGTATATATATATGTATATATTAATGTATAGATGATTTCCCCGGCTATAAACCTGCTTGAAATGAGGGTTTTCATGGATCTTCCAGCTAGCCACGTTTGATAACCGGAGGGTAATCTCTAATTTCGTTTCGATGGGGAGAGTGAGGAGAAATGTACCGACATCATAGGTTCTTTTTTTTTTTCGCTCAGCTACCCGAGAGGTGCGTGGGCGTGATGGAAGCAGTAAAAAAATGATAGGTTCTGTTTTTTTCTTCAAAATTTCTGATGTGCACATGTGCATGTTTCCTAAAAAAAACAGACGTTTTTTTCGCGTATCTGGTATGACACACTGAAACAGTATGTAGTGGAGGCCTGTGAGGCCTGTGAAAGATGGCGAATGTTGACGAACTTGGTGAACGAACTTGGGTTGATTAGGGGGATGTAAGAGTTTAATAGTTTAACATGATGTAAATTGATGTAACTGAATTTCGTGAGTTTTTTTTTAAAACAAACACAACCGGGGCCTCATCCGGGTTTTCGAAATTTTCCCTGAATTGGGATGATGGCGATGGAGCGAAACGAGCCCGGGCTCCGGGCAGGCCTGGTTCGGATCGCTGTCTCCTAATATGCAACCCATGGTGCTGGTATATTTACCCTCTGGTAAACGTACAAAAAACTATGGAAAATCACCATTTTTACTGGGAAAATCCACTATAAATTGCCATTTTCAATGGCTATGTTAGTTTACCAGAGGGTACCTACAAAACTGGGTGATTTTTAGGGCAAATGTTGGTAAATATTCCATACATGGAGCATATGGGTACAGCTAGACTTGCAGACAAACAACCGTTGCAAGATGTTGCTCTCCGTTGTTGTGCACCTCTTGGCTCAAGATTGCGACGTCGCAAGCATTGAAAGGCAACCTGGCCAGGTTCGGATTCACAGTTCACATTCTCGAGTTCCGGCCAACACCAATCGGATACATCAGTTACCAGTGGCAGTCGTTCAACACATCCTCATCACTTAGGTGACTTAGATGACTTACATCTGGAAAAAAAAATCTGGTAAACATCAATTATTTCATATGAATTCTCAGCCATTCAGATTTTCGGGGGCAGTGATTGCTTCAACTTAGCAGTCGGAGCCCACTTTGGCTGGTCGCCCCTCACACGAGGAGACGCTCCAATGTGCCCCATAAATGGCACTCGGGCCGATGAATTTTGAGTCCGTTTGCGAGTATCATCGAGCATCTATTACTGGTGATTACTGGTGATTACTGGTGATTAATGGTGATTAATGGTGATTACTGGTGATTAATGGTGATTAATGGTGATTAATGGGGATTAATATAGTTGTTAATCAAAAAAACACAGACTCTATCCTTTTTGCGTTCGGTGTTGGTGAACATGGCAGACATACAGCATCTGGGGGGCTTTCAAGTATTGACTTAGGAACACAGGCAACTCCAGTGGGAATCAAGTACAAGCCAGCCTTGTGATTAGATTCATGGATGTGGGGCAACATATTTGACTTGCGACCCATCGATTTTAGCTTGTTTTGGTACTTGTCGTCCAAGATGTTAATATCTGGGGATGTCTCAAAATAGGAGTGCCCCAAAGCTCTGTTTTGCACACTAAAAAACAAGGGCTTGGGGCACTCCTGGGCACCCCTGGGCACCCCTGTTTTGAGACATCCCCATATGTTAATCCTTATTGACCCATTCATCCTTCAAGAAAACAGAGCTCTGAGCAAGCTCTTAGCAAGCTCTTAACAAGCGCTTTAAGCTATCATTGTTGGTGACTTACATGTAGATCAGCCAGCATGTACCCTCTGGTAAACTAACATAACTATGGAAAATCACCATTTTGAATGGTACTATGTTGGTTTACCAGAGGGTAATGTACAGCAAACAGCTGCGATCATACTCGACAAGGTGGTTTTTTGGGGACCACACGGTGCACACACGATGCTGATCCACACGGTGGATTCACACGGTATTGCCAAGCCTCCATGATACTTGGGAATTCAGGACATGGAAGCCACTAAACCATACTAAACCTACTCTGGTAAACAAACAGTTCGCGAACTTGAACATTGCCATAGAAGGTTCGTTGATTTACCCATTAATAGCATGGTGATGTTCCATAGTTATGTAATGTTATGTTTATGTAAACGTTCACCAGAGGGTACATATGTTTCTTTGTTTTGAAACATAATGACATGATGATCCCCAATGACAACACCATGTTTTTAGTGTGGCGCTTTTCCATGGAGCCACCAACATCCGCTTGGCAGGACACAGACCGCAGCTGTGGGCCTGTAAATTTGATGTGTCTTGGCATTTTGCCATGCCCAGATGGAGCAACTGTTTTTGTAGGTACCCTCTGGTTATGACTAACATAGCTATTGAAAATGACCATAGAAATAGTGGATTTTCCCATTAAACATGGTGATTCTCCATAGTTATGTTAGTTTACCAGAGGGTATACCCAGAAAATATCTGACAAAAAATTGTCGTTACTGCTATCAAATTACTATTTCTATTTTTTGTTATTTATTGTTATGGTTATTCCTTTTATGACCCGTATGAAAATTACTAGTACTACTCCTTCTTACTACATTTTCCGGTTGTATGTGGGTAATGTCCCCACTGAGAAACTGGCTGGTTGTTTTCAAGATATGTCTTATTTTCCCACCTATGCCTCAGATGATTCCCATGTCACCTGTTTGGTGATTTTGAAATTGGCTTGAAACCAGGCCAGATATACAGAAGAATGCTCACAGACAATGCTTTTTCATGCTTTTTCTAGGGGCTGCTGAGCTTGATTACAATGAGAATTTTCACGCCATTTACGGCATTTAGCAATCATCCACCACTAGGATGATCTGAATTTTCATCCCAGCATCTGCGAGGCAACATAAGCTACCCTAGCGCGCCGCCTGTTGCCAAGCGCTATGTCGATGCCACCCAATTGGACCGAACATAAAGATCCCTCTACTGGGAAAACCTTCTACTACAACACTGTGACGAAGGACATACGGAAGGGAAGTTCATGTGAAAGTCAGATGCATCACTAGCTGAAATGCATTTAAAAGATTTTTTGTAAACAGAATTGAAGCAACGATAGACACTGTTTCACATTCTTTTTCCGACTATGGCTATGGTTATGTATCATTACCCCACTGGTTGGATGGGCTTTCTATCACTTTTTCAAATGACAGTGCTGGAACACTCTTTGATGGACACAGTCTTCTCGAATGCTTAGGGTTGCAGCCTTTGTTTTCATATGACTGGTCGTTGGTTTCAAGTCTGTGTCTTTTCGACCGACATCTGGGATGAGGGTCCCAGTGATGGATACTTTAGGATGGCTTGTAGCCACCAAACAGATGCCATGGGTGATAAAAGTGGGTGCACGTATCAGAAAGTCTAAGGTTCACGAAGGCATAGAACCAACAAGCATGGAATATCGAGGAATATGGTTCTGGATATAAAAAATGGAAACATCCCATAGAGGATTATTTGAGTCCAGGTATGTCGCATCATCATTACGTTCATCGCATCTTTCCATCCTCAGGAGACGCAGTGGACCCGGCCTCTTGGAGCTCCAGGAACTCCTGGCCCACCAGCCCCACCAGGGGCTGGCACCCCCAAGGCACCTCTGGCTCCGTCCATTGGTATTGGCAGACCTGTGGGTGCGCCCTTGGCGCCATCAGCTCCGGGTGCCCCCAAGATCCCTGGCAGTCCCTCCCCACCAATCCCTGGCAGCCGCCCGACTATCTCCACCTCCTCCTCCCCTGGGCCGTTGGGGGCGCCGCCGCCACCTGGGGGAAGGCCCACAGCAGTGTCCATCGCGTCGCCATCGCCAGCGGCACCCAAAGCACCCTTGGCACCAGCAGCACCTGGGGCACCCTTGGCACCGAAACCAGCCATTGGAGCACCACTGGCACCAGGAGCACCCAGAGCTCCCATGGCTCCAGCAGCACCGGGGGGGCTTCCACCTGATTGGACGGAGCACAAAGATCCAACCACGGGGAAGACCTACTACTACAACAAGCTGACGAAAGAAACCACCTGGACCAAGCCAGCTCCGAAGTTGGCGGCTACTGCACCATTGGCACCAGGTGCTCCAAAAGCACCGGCAGCACCGGGAGCACCGCCTGCCCCTGGTGGGCTCCCTCCTGATTGGACAGAGCACAAGGATCCAGTGACAGGCAAGACATACTACTACAACAAACTAACAAAAGAAACAACATGGGAAAAGCCCATTTCAAAGCTGGCAGCCACTGCCCCCCTAGCTCCCAAAGCACCAGCAGCACCCGGAGCACCGCCTGCCCCTGGTGGCCTTCCTCTTGATTGGACAGAACACAAGGATCCAGTGACAGGCAAAACGTACTACTACAACAAACTGACAAAGGAAACGACATGGGAAAGGCCTGTTTCAAAGTTGGCAGCCACTGCCCCGCTGGCTCCGAAGGCACCGGGAGCACCAGGAGCACCGCCTGCACCTGGTGGCCTTCCTCTTGATTGGACGGAACACAAGGATCCAGTGACTGGCAAAACGTACTACTACAACAAGCTAACAAAGGAGACAACATGGGAGAAACCAGCCTCCTTGGCACCACCCAAGCCACTGGCTCCAGCCCTCCCAGGGGGTCTGCCACCAAACTGGGAGGAGCACAAAGACCCATCAAGCGGCAAGACCTTCTATTACAACAAGGTCACAAAGGAGACTTCCTGGGACAAGCCAAAGGGGGCTTCAGCACCCGCACCAGCCGCTCCAGCAGCGCCAGGGGGGTTGCCGCCTGATTGGGAGGAGCACAAGGATCCCTCGAGTGGGAAGACCTTCTACTACAACAAAGTGACCAAGGAGACAAGTTGGGACAAGCCAGCACCCAAGCCAGCGCTTGCATCAGCTTTAAAGCCGGCTTTGCCTGGATCTTCCCTTGGTGGGCTGCCGCCAAACTGGGAGGAGCACAAAGATCCATCCTCCGGCAAGACCTTCTACTACAACAAGGTCACAAAGGAGACATCCTGGGACAAGCCAAAGGGAGCAGACCTGGGAGGACTTCCACCAAACTGGGAAGAGCACAAAGATCCCTCAAGCGGCAAGACCTTCTACTACAACAAGGTCACAAAGGAGACATCTTGGGACAAACCAAAGAGTCTAGCAGCGCCAGCAGCGCCAGCAGCACCTGGCGGATTGCCACCTGATTGGGAGGAACACAAGGACCCCTCAAGTGGCAAGACCTTTTACTACAACAAGGTCACAAAGGAGACATCCTGGGATAAACCCAAGGGTGCAGCACCGCCACTTCCTGGAGGATTGCCACCTGATTGGGAGGAGCACAAGGATCCCTCGAGTGGGAAGACCTTCTACTACAACAAGGTGACCAAGGAGACAAGTTGGGACAAGCCAGCACCCAAGCCAGCCCTAGCACCGGCTTTAAAGCCGGCTTTGCCTGGATCTTCCCTTGGTGGGCTGCCGCCAAACTGGGAGGAGCACAAAGATCCATCCTCCGGCAAGACCTTCTACTACAACAAGGTCACAAAAGAGACATCCTGGGACAAGCCAAAGGGAGCAGACCTGGGAGGACTTCCACCAAACTGGGAAGAGCACAAAGATCCCTCAAGCGGCAAGACCTTCTACTACAACAAGGTTACAAAGGAGACATCTTGGGACAAACCAAAGGGGGCTTTACCAGCCGCTCCAGCAGCGCCAGGGGGGTTGCCGCCGGATTGGGAGGAACACAAGGATCCCTCGACTGGGAAGACCTTCTACTACAACAAGGTGACCAAGGAAACAAGTTGGGACAAGCCAAAAGGTGCTTCTGCCCCGGCTCCTGCAGCTCCAGGAGGGTTGCCACCTGACTGGGAAGAGCATAAGGATCCCTCGAGTGGAAAGACGTTTTACTACAACAAGGTGACCAAGGACACAAGTTGGGATAAACCCAAGGGAGCAGCTGATGCTGGCGGACTTCCTCCAAACTGGGAGGAGCACAAGGATCCGTCCAGTGGGAAGACTTTCTACTACAACAAGGTCACCAAAGAAACAGCTTGGGACAAGCCAAAGGGATTGCCTGCGGCTCCTGGAGGATTGCCACCTGATTGGGAGGAGCACAAGGATCCCTCGACTGGGAAGACCTTCTACTACAACAAGGTGACCAAGGAGACAAGTTGGGACAAGCCAGCACCCAAGCCAGCCCTTGCGCCAGCCTTAAAGCCGGCTTTGTCTGGATCTTCCCTTGGTGGGCTGCCGCCAAACTGGGAGGAGCACAAAGATCCATCCTCCGGCAAGACCTTCTACTACAACAAGGTCACAAAAGAGACATCCTGGGACAAGCCAAAGGGAGCAGACCTGGGAGGACTTCCACCAAACTGGGAAGAGCACAAAGATCCCTCAAGCGGCAAGACCTTCTACTACAACAAGGTCACCAAGGAGACATCTTGGGACAAACCAAAGGGTGCAGCACCGCCAGCACCTGGAGGATTGCCGCCTGATTGGGAGGAGCACAAAGATCCGTCCAGCGGCCGAAGTTTCTACTACAATACTGTGACCAAGGAGTATGGAAAGGGAAGTCTGGAAAGGGAAGTGTGACACGTGTGTCGAAGCATTCCCCTAAAGAACAGGAAAGAATAGTTGTGATCATGTATCGAACGAAGGTTTCTCATGTTCATACCAGGTCTACTAGAGGATGAGGTTTCATACATGTCTTCCTTTGTCCATTTGTTCGAAGACCGACAATCAGAAAGCTTATACAGTATATGAATATTCCAGCAATTTCCCTTCGTCATCCAATGTAGGGTATATAACTTTGTTCCCGACCCAGGATGAACCAGATTCATGATGGAACATGTCCTGCTGCGCCTGCAATCAGCATATGATCAACATCAGAACTAAGTCATGTCTCCAAAGTTGCTATGAGTCATATTGAGTTGATTTCCGTGGTTTGAAGATAGGGGCATCCCCTGAATCCATCTTTTTTTCATGACCATTTTCCCTATGAATGTTGCCAAAACTGGGGGTTATGAAACCCCAGTTTTGGGGTCTCCAATCTCTGTCGGCAGGAGACGCGCTGGGACAAGCCAGGCAGCGGGCTTGGGTCAAAACCCTGGTACCCGGTACCCACAGTCATAGCTGGTATAGCCAGATGTTTATTCTCTTAGGTATGGTAATAATATTGTAATAATGAATTTTACCCATCCCATATATATATATATAAGTTTACGTACCTACTTTGTCCTCAATTTTCTCAAGAGAAAGACATATAGCGTCACTTACCATATTCCCATGCAATGCAGCAATCCATGTCAATGGAGTCATATCCCATTCCCAGCCGCTTGCGGTTGGAATATGTATGAGCCTGTATATCTGAGTGAATTGTACCGATGCCAATTTTTCCAAAATGATGGCTGGAAAGTTTGAGGAACCACCTCAAAATCATCATTGTTATTCAGCCAGAGCATCTCGGTGTTGATTCAAGTAGGATGTGACTGGGGCAGTATGTTCCATCTACATTGCAGTATCAATTCAGTATCAGCACCAAATTCACTGAGAAAGTGCTCTGGATTTTAGGAAGGCATCCCTTTTCCTCGTTGGAGACTCTAGAGGAGACTGCGACATGCAAAAACCAACTGAACTATCACCCTCTGGTAAGCGAACAGTTTGCTATTGAAAATATGGCCCTTTAGATATACTTGATTTACCCATTAAAAATGGTGATTTTCCAGAGAAAAAAACATAACTCACCAACTGTTCCAGATGATGATTTCTGCATGTCCATCAGATGACCACCGTTCTCGGGCCGTCTCCTTTTGGTTGATTTCCCGATGCTTAGCAGATCTTCCCGCATCATCCATTTGGGCTAAAATATGGGCTAAAATATGAGCCTTGGAGTTTCGGATCCGGTTTGAACCACGGAAATCCTGACTCTTTTTGGGAAATCCCATGTAGGTAGACCTTCTTTGAACACTTAAAAGCCGAATATCCGATTCCTCTCTCAAGATTTAAGAAAAAACAAAGCTGCTAGTTGGCCACCTGTTTCATCGCAAAATCACAACGCCACTAGCAGCTTCCGACGCCAGGCTAGCCGCCGCCGATGCCCTGTCAACGCAAAGGTGGACCGAGATATCAGGGTTCCAGACCCCATCTGGTCCCAAATCTAGAGGTTTTTGCAGGTTCTATTCATCCAATACCCATGACGGATCCGGCTGGTGCTGGTATATATGCTAACATAAAGGGGGTATATTGATGGGATCCATGTTACCATATATATATAATATATCATACCTGGATCCTATGGGATACTGATACTGACAAAAAATATGTGTCAGTGATGCTGTCGCCCTGATATTGAATCATTTGAATCTAAGACTGTGCTCATGGCATGAGTTTTTCATAGTTTTTCATAGTTTTTCATAGTTTGGCTGTGAAAATGGTGGAATGATTAACTCCAAATGGCAATTTGAGGAGGGAACATGGCCTTGAACCAATGGATTTAAGGGTACCCCCTCAGGTCAGGTCTACCTCTTTTGCGACCCCAAGACAGGATTTTTGTTCGGGTGGTATGTGATCTTAGGGGGGGTAGGATTACTCAATATTTCCCAAATCAAGAATCCCAAGAATGATGCTTTGACTGCTGCCCCCCAGATTTGCGGCGTTGGTATTGGGTTGGTATTGGGATGCCACTGTTTTTTCGCTGTTTGGCGGTTCAATTTTTGGGATGGTGGGCCACTCGATTCTGGAGATGAACATGGGAGGCCCAAATTGTATGCCATAGACGCCGTAGTCGTCGGAAAGCACACACAGACCTCATGACAACCTAAAGTGAAGATCTTCTTGTTGTATCTATCCACATGATGTTTGGCGTTATCCTCAGTTTTGGTTGAGATCTGGTGATTCTCTACCACCCGACACCATCCAATCCCATCCAACCCCCCAACGACTCTCAAAACCGGAAGGATTCGACCGTTCTTTGACGCGCCGGCGTGCGCTTGCAACGCCTGGCTGCAAGGAGTGAAAGGGTTGGAAATGATGTCCCACCGTGGCAACGTTTGAAATGTCCATCGGGAAACCTCGCATTTGGGGAGTCTTTTGGGATCTACTGCAGCTGTATTTCCATAGGAAATTATGCACATCCAGGTAATAGAGACGGCTTTTTGGGGTGAATAGTGGCGATTTTATCCTATTAGTTGACCATACGGGTTGGTCTGAAAATAGACTAGACTACCCTTCAAATTTCGTTTATGATCACTTTCCCTATTGAAATGGCAATCGGGAGATGTATGGCATACTGGCATACCCTATATTCAGACAAACCTGCATTGGACAAGTGGTTGTACGGAGTGAGTCATGATCATACTTGAACCCCGTTTGCTGAGAAGTACAGTTGGCATCATTGATTTTGAGGGGTCCTGGTCTCAAACAACCAGTGCCACCAATCGAAAGGATTTTCACTGGAAAGTTGCGCAAGTAAGATGAATTCCCTGTCGTAACTAGGTGGCTTTCCTTTTCATTTTCCCAGAAATAGGAAAGGCATCCAAGAATTGAGCAATAGCTTCCAGATGGCTTGTGGACGGATTTGATGATTTGCAGGCAAAACAGTGGGGCCCAAAACGAAAAAACTTACATTTGGAACGTGGCCCGTTGGAAAAAGAGAGATCCTCACTTTTGCGTTTTGAAACATGCTGATTTCCACAAATTTACTGGTGAATCCATTTGGGGCCTCATGTTGGAACCACTATCAACGAACCACTTGAGCCAATAGGCTTTAAAAGCTGCGACCAAGGGATTTATATAAACAGCATTTTTCCAAGGACAACAGACCTTTTAGTAATGTCAACCGGGAAATATGATCATCATCCATGATTGGATCATGTCTAAACATGTTTTACAATCCCCAAAATACTATAATACCCTCTGGTAAACTCTTACAAATCGCTATTGAAGCCATGGCCATTGAAATATATTGAAATAGTGAGTTTTCCCATGAATAGCATGGGTGGATTTTCCATAGTTTTTTGTAAACGTTTACCAGAGGGTATCTGGGATGATGATCCCTGATGGGTGTTTCATGTTGAACCAACCCGGGCCGGCGCAGGACTATGTACCATTGATGCCGTTCCGCCGTTGTATGCCGCTGTGCAGGGCGCGTGGCGACCCGCTAATGCCAAGGGGAAGAAAAAGAAGAAGTTGCTGACTCGAAAACCCCCAATCTTTCAATTTTCCAGCTATAAACCTCCATTTAGAGGGATTTTCCAGCTATAAACCTCCATTTAGAGGGATTTTCCAGCTATAAACCTCCATTGAGAGGGGATATGAGGGGATCTTTCCCTGGATTTGATTGGGAAATTCCGTGAAAACCGTAGGGAATGCCGAAAGCTAGAGCCACCCCCGCTGGAAGAGCTGATTAAGCCATGAGTTCAACGGATTTTTAAAGACACGTTCTCCAAAGGAAAGGCCTTCTTTCCGGCTTGATTTTTATTTATGGACTCCAATCCTACCTGTGGTTTAGAATGTGGGTTCTCCGACCTCAGAGTACTCGACAAATGCTCGATTTTTTGTCTGGTTATTAGCCATGGAACATCACCATTTTTAATCGCTGGATGATCATAAATCATCTATAATAACTATGGACCATTTTTCCATGTTCCATCATGACCCTAGATTTTTCCATAGCAAATACCTGATTTTTTTCATAGCTATATTATCTGGTTGGTGGTTTGGAACATTAATTTTACTTTTCCATTCAGTTGGGAATGTCATCATCCCAACTGACTTTCATATTTTTTAGAGGGGTAGGTATACCACCAACCAGTTATGCTATATTACATAAATAACTAAGAGGGCACATAGCTGAGTATGTTTTCATGGAGACTATCCACCAGCCACTTACGGCTACGTTTGGAGTTGGTCCATTGGTTGCTTATCCCCATCAAAACCAATAGTTGGTGAGGCTTTTTAGTTGGTTAACTCCCCTGATAGTCCTATAGTCTACCTATAGTCCTATAGTTGTCATTGATGATATAAGTTGCGAACAACCCCCCTGAAAGCTATAGAAACCTATAGAAACCTATAGCTGTATCCCCCATAACTCCCCTAAGAAACAAGTTATAGGTCAACTTAGCGATCTTGTTTACGGGGGCACCTGGTAGCCACCATCCATCGCCGCAGGCCTTTGTCGTAGTCGGCCGAAACTCCTGGCTTCAGACTGAGACGAGCCGAGAAAAATGATCAGTTCATTAATGATTTTTACCTGGAAAAAATGTGTGATGTATACAAAGTTGGTGCAAATAACTCCAATAACTATATGGTTTATGGTACACAAAAAACATCTTCGGCCCATAGTTCATGGGCTTTATAAACCAACATAAACCAACAAAATTTGAAGCCTAAGTCCAGTTCTGGCTGTGGGCAAGAGGATTTTCGCCACTAGGATATTGACCATTGCGAAATCCTGCAGGCAGGGTCACTATTGGTAATTAGGAAGCACTGAAAAAACATCGGGATTATAACATATTATAAAAATTCTGATTGGATCTTATTCGAAGATACACTTTCTGGTTGATGATGGTTGATGCTGGAGATGAACAACTAGT